ATGGGTGGATGGAGCATGGATGAATAAAGGATGGATGGATGATGGATAGGTAGATGAAGGATGGATGGGCAGATGAAGGATGGATGGATGATGGATGGATGGATGATGGATGGATGGTGGATGGGTGGATGGAGCATGGATGAATAGAGCATGGATGGATGGATGGATGATGGATAGGTAGATGGAGGATGGATGGGCAGATGGAGGATGGATGGATGGAGGATGGATGGATAGTGGATGGGTGGGTGGATGAAGATACACGAGTGGATAGAGGATGGATGGATGGACGGAGGGTTGAGGAAAGATGGATGGGTGAATGTATGTATGGAGGATAAGTAGAAGGAAGACAAATGGATGGATAATTGCTTTATGGATAGACATATGGATGGATATTTGAATGATAGCCTTCTGTTAATGGATGAATGGATGGGTGAGTGGGTAAGAGTGTTATAAATGGAGGAGTGGATATATGGATAGTAGTTTATAGTTGGGTGGCTGGATAGATGGATGGAAAGATAGAAAGAGAGGTGAATGATTGGATGCATCAGCATATGACAAGCAGGTACAACTCTAGGTGGTCTCTATGCCCTGAGACCCTGAGGAAAATAAGGATGCCTGTGCTGGTGGCCCTCGCCTGGCCCTCCCTTGTAACCCCTCAACCACATTCCCTGGGAAGGCAACAGAGGTCTCTGGTCTTGCCCATTCAACCTTTGGCACACTGAGTGTCGGGCTCAGGTCTCTGTCTTGGACCCAGATCTCCTTAAGGTTGCGTGTGTCTGATCCTCTCTGGCCCTGGGACCCAGTCACTGAATATGTGGCTGAGACTGAGACTGAGACTGGGGGTTGGGGGGCAGGTACCTTGGGCTCAAGCTCCCCTTGAAGGAGCAGATGGCGCCCACTCTCTGCCAAGTCTCTCCCTGAGGTGTCCTGAGAACCTCAAAGACAGAAGGTCTCAGCCCCTCACCTGGGACCCTGCCTCCTCTTCTTCCCTGGGGGAGTCTCAGGCCTGAGATGGGGACCCAGACCCCACTGTCCCCAGACCCCAAGGAAGCATAGCCCCTGTTCACATGAGCCTGGGCTAGGCAGGCCCTCACTGTGTTGCAGATTGGCAGACGCTGCCTCCCTGTGTGGAGCTGGACCCACTGCAGGAGAGCCTGGAGGAGGAGACCCCTGGCGCCAGCCTGTGGCCCACCACCGTCACCTTCCTCACCCTCTTCCTGCTGAGCCTGTTCTACAGCACAGCACTGACCGTGACCAGCATCCGGGGCCCGTCCAGCAGCAGGGAGGTCCCCCAGTTCTGAGCAGCAGCCAGCAGAGCACAGGTATACATGCTGTAGATAGCATCTGTAGCAGGCAGAGCAAGCACTGCGGGCTCCCGCTGTGGGGAGTCATGCTCTCCTGGGGGGGGCCTTCACAGACACAGGACACAGGCAGGCCCAGGGTCAGGATTGAGCTTCACTCCAGTGCAGTAACCCAGATTCAGTCCAGGCTCCCCTGAGCCAGGATGGATGATGGATGGGTGGATGGAGGGTGAGTGATGAGGACAAGGGCTGGGACAGAGGGCATTGGCTGCTGCTCCTTCAGGCTGTGACCCTCTGTCTTTGCAGGGAGGAAGTGTGGAGGAACCTCTTGGAGAAGCCAGGCATGCCAGAACTCAGCCCTTTCAGAAGCCACCGACCCACCCCTACTCACATGCCTTCCAGGTGCAATAAAGTGGCCCCAAGGAAAATGTTCACAAACTCTGAATGAGGAGACAGGGGTCAGGGGAAGGGTGGTGGCTGTAGCCTGGAGGACTCCTGCTTCAAAGTCCCCCTGGGTGTCATGGTGGGTATGGTGGGCATGGACAGAGGGTACCTCTGGTCCCAAAATCAAGAAAGAAGCTGATCTTGCATGAGGCTGAGGCCCAAGGATGAATGCTGGATTCACCAGAGACGGTGGCAAAGAAACCCATTCCCAAGGACTGTATGGGAACCCCGTTCCTCACAACCTGGACAGCCCTGGTCCTCCTCACTGGGTCCTCACCCTGATCACAGGGCCCTGTTCCTGACTAGTGGGCCCTTTTACTGATCACTGAGCTCTGGTCCTACTACTTGGGTCCTGTTTCTGATCAC